CTGTAAGGGTAGAAATACATCGCTTGTTATTATCTGAGTTATATAGGGCCCCAGTTCTAATGGGCCCCAGTTCTAATGGGCCCCAGTTCTAATGGGCCCCAGTTCTAATGGGCCCCAGTTCTAATTGGCCCCATGTCTAATAGGCCCCTGTCTTTATAGGTGGTGTGAATGGTTATGTATGTTTGGTTAATTGGGTCCCCTAGTTCTAATGGACCACAGTGCCATTTGGTTCCAGTTCTAATAGGCACCTAAATTTAATACGTGTAGAAAAACATAAGAGAGATAGAGAAAGAAAGAAAGAAAGAAAGAAAGAAAGGGATAAAAACCCAGGAAAATGATATAAAGCTAAAAAGAAAGAAAGTTAAAAAGTAAGGAGAGAAAAAATAAAAAGAAAGAAAGAAAGAAAAAAGAGAGAGAGAAAGAGAAAGAGAAAAAGCTTGAATGAGAGAGAGCTTTTAAGCTGGTCAGGATCAGCTGTGGCCGTTGAACTTGGGGGAAGCTAAAACTGTTCACGAAATTCCCTGACGCTTACGACTAAACTTTTGATCCATTGTAGTCTACCTTAATCTACCTTAATCTACCTTAATCTACCTTAATCTACATCAATCTACCTTAATCTACCTCAATCTACCTTAATCTACCTCAATCTACCTTATTCTACCTCAATCTACCTTAATCTACCTTAATCTACATCAATCTACCTTAATCTACCTCAATCTACCTTAATCTACCTCAATCTACCTTAATCTATCTCAATCTACCTCATCTACCTCAATCTACCTTAATCTACCTCAATCTACCTTAATCAACCTTAATCTACCTCAATCTACCTTAATCAACCTTAATCTACCTCATCTACCTCATATACCTCAATCTACCTAAATCTACCTCAATCTACCTCAATCTACCTTAATCTACCTCAATCTACCTTAATCTACCTCAATCTACCTTAATCTATCTCAATCTACCCTCATCTACCTCGATCTACCTTAATCTACCTCAATCTACCTCAATCTACCTTAATCTACCTCAATCTACCTTAATCTACCTCAATCTACCTCAATCTACCTTATCTACCTCACTACCCTCATCTACCATGACCCTTTGATAGTCTACCTCAATCGACCTCAATCTACCTTGACCCTTTGCTAATCTACCTTCATCTACCTGGAGCAGATTAGAACCAGTGCCGATCGTGTGTTTGTCTATCGTAAATTAATCAATTGTCTATCGTGGGTTCGGACGATTACAGCGTCGGTAATTATCTATCGACCTGTTATGATAAAACGAGCACATACACACACACACACACACACACACACACAAACACACACACACACACATACACACATACACACACACACACACATACATACTATTAAAACCAATATACGAAATAAAAATGACTCTCTCTCTCTCTCTCTCTACCCAAACAAGAAAAAGTTAATAAATAATTTCAATAAATAATTCAGTCAAAAATATTCTGTTATTGTGAATTAAAAGCGCGATTTGAAACACTAATTAAAACCTAACCCGTCGACTGACACTCACTAAATTAACACCTTATGCTAAATCGTTCACATTTTACTACGAAATATTTATAGGGAAATATTTTATGGTGATAGTATTGGTGGTGATATATGGTGATATTAATGGTGATAATAATGGTGGTGATAGTAATGGTGGTATTAATGGTGGTGATAGTAATGGGTATTAATGGTGATAATAATGGTGGTGATAGTAATGGTGATAATAATGGTGGTATTAATGGTGGTGATAGTAATGGTGGTATTAATAGTGATAATAATGGTGGTGATAGTAATGGTGGTAATAATGGTGATAATAATGGTGGTGATAGTAATGGTGATATTAATGGTGATAATAATGGTGGAGATAGTAATGGTGGTATTAATGGTGATAATAATGGTGGTGATAGTAATGGTGGTATTAATGGTGATATTAATGGTGGTGATAGTAATGGTGGTATTAATGGTGATAATAAGACAAACAACAACAGCAAGAAAAAGACAAACAACAACAGCAAGAAGAAGAGGAACAACAACAGCAAGAAGAAGAGGAACAACAACAGCAAGAAGAAGAGGAACAACAAACAGCAAGAAGAAGAGGAACAACAACAGTAAGAAGAAGAGGAACAACAACAGCAAGAAGAAGAGGAACAACAACAGCAAGAAGAAGAGGAACAACAACACCAAGAAGAAGAGGAACAACAACACCAAGAAGAAGAGGAACAACAACAGCAAGAAGAAGAGGAACAACAACACCAAGAAGAAGAGGAACAACAACAGCAAGAAGAAGAGGAACAACAACAGCAAGAAGAAGAGGAACAACAACAGCAAGAAGAAGAGGAACAACAACAGCAAGAAGAAGAGGAACAACAACACCAAGAAGAAGAGGAACAACAACAGCAAGAAGAAGAGGAACAACAACAACAAGAAGAAGAGGAACAACAACAGCAAGAAGAAGAGGAACAACAACAACACCAAGAAGAAGAGGAACAACAACACCAAGAAGAAGAGGAACAACAACAACACCAAGAAGAGGAACAACAACAGCAAGAAGAAGAGGAACAACAGCAAGAAGAAGAGGAACAACAACAGCAAGAAGAAGAGGAACAACAACAGCAAGAAGAAGAGGAACAACACCAAGAAGAAGAGGAACAACAACAGCAAGAAGAAGAGGAACAACAACAGCAAGAAGAAGAGGAACAACAACAGCAAGAAGAAGAGGAACAACAACAAACACCAAGAAGAGGAACAACAACAGCAAGAAGAAGAGGAACAACAACAGCAAGAAGAAGAGGAACAACAACAGCAAGAAGAAGAGGAACAACAACAGCAAGAAGAAGAGGAACAACAACAACAAGAAGAAGAGGAACAACAACAGCAAGAAGAAGAGGAACAACAACAGTAAGAAGAAGAGGAACAACAACAGCAAGAAGAAGAGGAACAACAACAGCAAGAAGAAGAGGAACAACAACAGCAAGAAGAAGAGGAACAACAACAGCAAGAAGAAGAGGAACAACAACAGCAAGAAGAAGAGGAACAACAACAGCAAGAAGAAGAGGAACAACAACAACAACAAGAAGAAGAGGAAGAAGAAGAGGAAGAAGAAGATAATTTACGTAAAACTGACACGTACAAGAGACACGGGAGGTGGCAGACAGATGACGAGGATCAATACGCAAGAATAACACGGCAAGTCAACATTAAGAACACACACAGTCACGCACACACACAGTCACACACACACAGTCACACACACAGTCACACAAACACAGTCACACACACGCAGTCACACACACAGTCACACACACACACAGCCACACACAGCCACACACACACAGTCACACACACACAGCCACACACACAGTCACACACAGTCAACACAAACACAGTCACACACACGCAGTCACACACACACAGTCACACACACACAGTCACACACACAGTCACACACACAGTCACACACACACACACAATCACACACACACAGCTCACACAAACACAGTCACACACACACACACACCACACCACACACACAGTCACGCACACACCAGTCACACACCCACAACCTGTGAGCGATAATTGAACAGACACAACGGTACACATTGGCTCTCACCGTGTTAGTGGTGTACCGTGTTAATAGTGGTGTACCGTGTTAATGGTGGTGTACCGTGTTAATGGTGGTGTACCGTGTTAATGGTGGTGTACCGTGTTATTGAGGTTTACCGTGTTATTGAGGTGTACCGTGTTATTGGAGGTGTACCGTTTTAGTGGAGGTGTACCGTGTTATTGGCGGTGTACCGTTTTAGTGGAGGTGTACCGTGTTATTGGAGGTGTAACGTTAATGGTGGTACCGTGTTAATGGTGGTGTACCGTGTTAATGGTGGTGCACCCTGTTATTAGTGGTGTACCGTGTTAATAGTGGTGTACCGTGTTAATGGTGGTGTACCGTGTTATTGGAGGTGTACCGTGTTGTGGAGGTGTACCGTTTTAGTGGAGGTGTACCGTGTTAATGGTGGTGTACCGTGTTAATGGTGGTGTACCGTGTTATTGGAGGTGTACCGTTTTAGTGGAGGTGTACCGTGTTATGGAGGTGCACCGTGTTAATGGTGGTACAGTGTTATTGAGGTGTACCGTGTTATTGAGGTGTACCGTGTCAATGGTGGTGTACCGTGTTAATGGTGGTGTACCGTGTTATTGAGGTGTACCGTGTTATTGGAGGTGCACCGTGTTAATGGTGGTGTACCGTGCTAATGGTGGTGTACCGTGTTAATAGTGGTGTACCGTGTTACTGGAGATGTACCGTGTTAGTGCAGGAAGTGTACCATAACTGTCAGGGGGAGGGGGGGAGGGTCGTTGTGGCCTGGGATCGAACACGGGTCAGTAGACAGATATACCGACACGCTTACCACTATGCCACCGGGACCTGGATGTAGATAGATAGATAGATAGATAGATAGATAGATAGATAGATAGATAGATAGATAGATAAAGAAAGAAAAATAGAAATATAGACAGAAAAAATCCAACTGACAGACAGACAGACAGACAGAGAAAGAAAGAGAGAGAGAGAGAGAGAGAGAGAGAGAGAGAGAGAGAGAGAGAGAGAGAGAGAGAGAGAGAGATTATTCCTTATTAATCTCTGGACAACACCTGGGCGTGAGAGAGGCAGGTAATTGATGAGTTCTCCCTCACCTGTATCAGTCACCTGTGAAATTAATCAACTCTGGAAATCACTTATTATTTCGCCTCTTATTAACTCTGAATGAGCCTTTGACATTTAAACAAACACACACTCATATTTTGACTCTAACTTGGTCTGTATGCATGTATGTATGTATGCATGTATGTATGTATGTATGTATGTATGTATGTATGTATGTATGTATGTATGCATGTATGTATGTATGTCTTCCCTCATCTAGTAATGACCTGCATCTACCTGTTCCTACCTGCCTCTACCTGCATCTACCTTCC